GCAGCCTCAACAAGCCAATCCGTCGTACCGGTCAACCAAACAGACCAAATACCTTCCTGGTTAAAAGCCAAAATCAGGGAGAAAAACCGATACGACACAGAGCCTTGCGAACACAAGATCCATACCTAAAAAGGCAAGTCAACCGCCTCCAGGCTGCGATCGAGGAAGACATCAAGGAGGTTCGATCGCAGCACTGGGATGCTCGCATGGACAAAGTAGAGGCTGACGAGTCCAACAAAGAGCTTTGGAAACTGGCCAGGAACCTCATCAAAGGACCAAGGCAACCAATACCACTCATCCAAGAAAACGAAATCTCCACTGTGGACCCCAAAGAGAAACTGGAACTCTTTGCCAACCATCTAGAGCTCCAATGCAGAGTTAACCTGGTTGATCACCCAGAGCAAGAAGAGGAAGTGCAGCAAGGAACACAGTAGCCGCCCACTTCCAAAACTGGCAGCCCACTCTACTCAGAAAAGTCACCAGAGAGATCATCCAAGACATCATCAAGGGGGCAAAGAGGAAAAAGGCCCCTGGACATAATGGAATATCAAACGGGGTCTTCAAGAAACTTTCAGAAGCAACAATTGAGAACCTCAATACAGTGGCAAATGCAATCCTGGAACTTCAGTACTTCCCGATCACCTGGAAGAAGGTAATAGTGGTATTGGTTCCCAAAAAGGGAGCAAACAGAAAGCTGCTTAAGTCCTACAGGCCCATCAGCCTATTACCAATGATGGCCAAAGTAACGGAGAGGTGTATCCTAAACCACATCCAGGATACAATAGAGGACAAGAAGGTGCTGCTCGATGAACAACATGTATTCAGGCCGGGACATGGCACTAACACACTCGCAGCCCGGCTGACAACAAGGATCCAGCAAAGCTTATACCGCCAAAGCGGTCTAGGAGCCGTCTTCCTAGACATGTCAAAGGCGTTTGACAAAGTTTGGCACCAGGCCTAGATGATCACAGCAGGCTTTTCGGGCTACCAAACTAAGCTCAGTTGCCTATCTGGACGCAGCTTCCAGGTTAAAATCGAGAACCACTTCTCAACCAGTCGACCGATGATGTCAGGAGCTCTTCAACATATATATGGTAGACTTTCCAACCCCCACCAATACAGAGTGCTACATCTACGCAGATGATGTAGCAATCACTGCCGCAGGGAAGGGCACTTGCATGAAAGCTAGACTCCAAAGACATCTCGGCCAGGTCCAACAATGGAGCAGGAAATGGAAAATGGAGTTTAATCCAGCAAAGACACAGACCATTCTCTTCACCAGGCTTCAAGACTCCGCCAGGCATACTAGAACTTGCAGGACAGCGGCTACCCTAGAGGTCCAAGGTTACCTATCTTGGACTTATCTACGACAAGCGACTAGTATGGCACGACCAAATGACAGCCACAACAGCCAAGGCAAGATACCTGCTCCCCTTACAAACAGCTAATCCGCCCGGTGCTGACCTATGGATCTCCTGCATGGTCCACGGCCAGCGCCTGCCAGAAACACAAGCTGGCAGTAATCCAGAATCGGATACTGAGGATAGCAGCCAAGGTCCCGTACTTTGTCAGAAATTCCACCCTGCAAAGAGGCCTGAAAACAGATGACCTGCTGGACCATATCCGGAACTTAATATCAAAGTTCCTGGATAGTTGCCTGCAAAGCAAGAATCCCACAGTTCGGGTTTGTTGCAAAAAGAAATTCCCCTGTGACCGCAGACCTCTCCCTGTGGACACAGTCTAAGAAGACGTGGACCACATGCGATGACCACATCGAGGATGACTGCACCACATCGAGGAAAGGAATAGCATCGAAGTTAGTTTATAGGAAGCAAGAGAGGCTGTATTAGGTTTAGGTTAGGTTTTTTAGGTTAAGGTAGATTAAGTCATACGATGTTAAATTTTATTTTACATAGAATGTTAGACACTCTAACGATGTTAGATTTATGGACTCGTTGATAAGTAGCAGTAGGAAGATGTAAAACTTAGCTGAAATAAATATGTTCAAAGAGACTTCGGGATCAGTCGATGAGCTCACTTAGTCGGGTTCGGTTAATTTTTTGTGAGCGCCATCTTGTCCCACTCAGAGCAACGGCTCTTTAGAGTAAGTTCGGTTTTCCCTAAACGCGATTTCCAAGTTAAAGTTTCCCGAATAACCCAAGTTGGGGTAACATTGTGCCAAAGTGTTCCCGGATCCAGCGTTCCGGCCGGCCCACGTGCTTTCGCGTTTTTTCGTACCACGTGCTTGCAGCGCCGCCCCTCCAGGATTCAGCGTTCTGGCCCACAGGATTTCGCGTTGTTGTGTGTTGAACTGTGTTCCCCCATTTTTGTTGCGCACTCAACTATCCCGCTTGCTGGGCTCCTTTTTACGGCCCGCCGCCCATTTTTTTTTGGTCACTATTTCAGTCACGCGACTTTTATAACCTCTTTGTTAATTAACTGGCATCCCTAAGAGACTTTTAGGCCTTAAGCCTGCCGATTAACCATGGAGCGGGATTTCCGCACCTTTTTACGCCTGCACCACTGGTGGGGATTCGTACCATGCCGGGGACGACATCAGGATTCAGATCACGCCATCCGCGTACTCTGAGCGCACCCTTCCCGCAAGAAGCAAGGCGCTTGAATGCAGATCACCGGCTCCGTTACCGCCGCATTCGGCGACCGTCAGGACCATCGGATAGACGTATGCCATCGAAGCCATGGCGAGCATTTTGCCGATATTTTGTTTCATACATAATTGTCATAGATCCTCCTATCATAATAAAAAAATACTGAAATAATTCTCTGCAGTTTTCGTTTTATTTAAAATTAACATCGTGCGTTTAAGTCGAACCATCCTTTATATTGCCGGGTAGTGTTCGTGCTGAAAGGTTCAACTTTCTTTCATTTCATTCCATATTCAAATTACTTCCAAACTGAATCGTTTAGTAGGTTAAGTCAACAGAATCAGTTTGGTTAATCAGCGTCAAGGTGTTAAAATTGTTGAAATCGTTGTGGAAATGAAGGAATAGCAATTCGAGATGGAATGCCCTAGATTGACACGATAGCACGACCTATCGGTTCGGTCGATAGGCGAATGAACACTAATGGATAAATATTTGTAAAGCTGCTCAATGTTGGGAACATTTGTAGTAAAAAATGAAGTAAAGAATATTGAAAGCAAGAAATGCAAAAATGTGTGGACATTAATCCAATGGCAAATTGTAACGAAGGTTGAGCCAGCACCAGGCGAATGGCCGTTTTCAAGGGCCCCCATAAAAGGATATGTGTTTACTTATTAATAGTATTTTACAATTGTACCGATATCTCTTACGTACACCACGAAATTCAGAGAACAATCCCTACCACAAAGGGCTCCCACTACCACGCAAATAATAGGCATAGGGAGAGGCTAGAAATTATATTTAAGGAGACACGAAGTTCAGTTTCGGTCACTTTTCCTGTTCTGCCGACCGCCCGAACAGACCATAGTTTTTCTGTCCTACCGACCGACCGACCGAACAGACCACACTTCTCTAACTTTCCGCCTTAAATTTTAATTTCCCCACGATACCGATCAAGCTGCAATCCGAAAAAATCCAGTCCGTATCAACTCCACGAGTCGCCCGACTCCCTGTAAAGAAGGTACAGTGCCCATATTTGTAGACCATTCCCGACATTTCTTTCGGTTTCCTTTGTGAGAAGCCATAGGGCGATTTGTTGTGTCTTGAGGATAACCCTTTATTACGAAACCCGTGCAAGTAACAAGTTCTGGTTCATCTTCAATCTGTCATGCTTCCCCATCATTCCAACCCCATTCAGCGATGTTTCGCACCGCATGGAGTAATATTACCCCGTGTTTGTGGACGATGGTGGTCATTCTAGCATCGCGCTTCAGGCCATATCGCCAGGCATGAGCTGAGAATGGCTGCCGATTTGCAGATCTCGTTTGTCTCTGAACTTGAACAACTTTTCGACGAGTTTTGTGACCGATGGTGGTCATTCGGGCCTCGCGGATCCGGCCATTTCGCCAGGCATAAGCTCAGAATTTCCGTTTCAGTTTCAGTTGCTTCCGAATGAAAGAACCTTTTTCGACGCTAGACTTGTTTTCCTGCTGATATTAAGATCTTAATGTTTGAGTCAACTAAAAGTAGTGAAGACGAAATCGAAAGCTTTTACAAGCATCTCAACGAGGCATTGTCTCTCGTAAAAAAAGTAGACAACATTATAGTTATGGACGACTTTAACGCAAAAGTAGGAAAAAAGCAGTGCCAGATCATAGTGGGTGGCTTTGGAATGGGCCGTAGAAATGACCGGGGTGACCGCATTATTCAATTCTGCCAGGAGAACGACCATTTTATAACAAACACCTTTTTCAAACTTCACCAAAGAAGACTGTACACCTGGACGTCGACTGCGGAGACGGAGGATATGATTGTCAGCAATCAGATCGACTTTATCTTGGTAAAACAGCGTTTTAGAAACAGCATAAAGTCCGCCAAAACATACCCAGAAGCGGACATTGGATCTGACCACAATCCTTTAGTAGCAATAACACATATCAGGTTAAAGAAAATTGACAAAAAACAAAGCCAAAACAGCACAGACCGCACACTACTAAGCAAGGAGCCCATGAGAAGTATGGTCCGAGAACAACTTCACAAATGCCTTGAAACCCACAACGAGAACGCGACAGACTCTGACACCCAGTGGAACAAGATGAGAACAGATATAAACAACCTTTGTCAAAAACACCTGAAAAGTAAAACTCAAAATAAGAAATGACCCTAGATGACATACGAAATATTGGATCTAATGGAGGAACGTAGGATACTAAAACACAGCAAACAAGCCACAATAAAGTAAAACAGCATTAATAAGGCAGAGAATCCGGAAAGCAAATGCATCTTATCTGACCAGCCAGGGCAAAGAGATAGAAGACCTAGAAGCGACTTATGACTAGTTTAATATGTATAAAAAGATCACGAAAGCAACTGGCAAGTCACGATCAAACAGAGCATCGGGAGTACTGTGCGATAAGTGGTAAAATAGTACAAGGATTGCAACAAAAACTAATTGAATACATCACCGCCGACTTTAAAGGATACAGAAGGACCACAAATTACATGCAGAGGGGTTGAATATGCTATTAGAGGGTCAAAAAGTCGCAAAGCGGTAGGAACGGATGAGATTCCTTGTGAAGTATACAATCTAATAGACGACCACATTGGCCTAAAAGTGGTCACAAATTTTTTGAACAAAATATACACTAGTGGTAAATTTTTAAAACGACTGGTTAAAATCTGCGTTCGTAACAATACCAAAGAAAAGCACGACTAAAAGTGCGATGAATACAGAACCAATAGCCTAATGAACCATATGTTGAAGATATTTTTGAAAATCATTCATGGTCGGATATGTGAAGTGTGAGGATTATCTAAGTGACACGCAATTCGGGTTCCGTAATGTCTCAGAAGCACTTTGTGGCATTAATGTCTTCGCCCAGAGAAGCCGTGACATCTCGGCTGATGTTTATGCCTGCTTCATAGACTTTCAAAAAACCTTGGACCGGGTTAAACATGAGGTCCTAGTGGATACCCTCAAGTTGATTGGACTGGACGGGGCGTATATCAGAGAAATCGCAAACTTATACTGGATTCAAACATCGATAGTCAGAGTGGGGAGAACCACCACGCCAGAAGTAAAAATCAAGCGAGGAGTAAGGCAAGGGTGCATCCTATCTCCGTTGCTCTTCAATGCATACTCAGAAATAATTTTCAAATATGCACTTTCGGAGGCAGCAATGGGCATTGTCGTTAATGGCGAATTGATAAATAACATGCGGTACACGGATGACACGGTTTTGTTGGCCAGGAGAAAAACTTCATGGCTGAAAAATCTGCGCGACTGGTACAAAACGAATTCACACACACTTTTTAGAGCTGCCGTGGACAAAGTACGGCTAGCGTTGTTGGTAACCAACGTTCTGAAAGGACACGCTACATAAGAAGAAGAAGAATGTTTGAGTCACGTAATGTAAGTGAGTTAATGCAATGTTTCCTGTTCGTTCGACGTTCCCCCTACGATAGAACGCAAAATAGAATGGCCACCGTAAAGAATATTTTTTTGCTGAAATTAACCGCCAGTAACTGTTTCTCACTGTCTAGCTGATCCAGTCGTTCTATGGCATTCATTACTCAACCAATAAACCACAATCGGTCGACGCCATCAGCTAGACCGAGATTAAATTAATTAAACTAAAGAAAATGTGGGGAATAAATACAAAAACTCCCCGCTCCTCCCGATCTTTGACGTTTTACTGGTATCAAATTTATTCCGAATATAAATTTCCCAGTCATATTAGTTTGGAATTCCGGATAAAACCCGCATTGTCGTGGATCGCCGGTGCAAAATATGATTGCGTAACATACGACATACCGCCCGCCCCGTCGGTCACCTCTTCTTCCCTTTTTTTGGAACTTTAATTTTGTGTTCATTAAAGCCGGAAATCTTATATTATTTCATGAAATGTAAAACGCCTCATTAATGCCAGATACCTTATTTTATTTCGTTAAACGTAAACCGCCTGTCGTAGTACCACGGCGATGGAAATTCTGTTTTATTTGATGAATAAACCATTTGTTGTTTGACTGTGTTTAATAATACCGACTGCGTATTGACCTCTGAGTTGTTTTCTTTCTCCACTGTATAAAAGCGACCCTAGCTGTGGGGCCATCACCACATAAATCCTGATGGCTGGCGCCCGATAAAACCGCCGAAAACCCGTTCAAGTCCGAACATGTTAATTCACCAGCAATAAACCATAACAATACAAAAAGAGCTTCCGAGACACCATTGCGCCCGAGCCGGGACGTCATAGACAATTTTCCGAAACATCATTACAAAATTAAACGAACAAAAACAACAAACCTTGTAATGGGGAAAAAGTATACAATGCCTCTGATTTATACTAGACTTAATATAATTGAGCTAACAAGTCAATAAATTGAAAATAACATTCACAATAAACCACAAACAGTCACTTTTTTAAAGCAGAAGTTTAAGAAAGGTCAACTGAATCCATTTAGGTAGCAGATTTCTAAAACGGTTAGGGATGTCAATGTTTTACTATTGCTACAGGGTGTAAAAAGCTACAAGAAGTACAAAAACAATGCAAAATAATGTTCTGATTTGTTGAACTTTCGAAAAATAGTTTCATATAAAAGTTGTTGACGTACAAAGTGCGCACATTTTAAAAATATATCATGACACAGAGTGTCTCAGAAAAGCGAGGTAAGAGCAAGGGGAATTTTCTTAAATAGAATTTTTCATTAGCTCATGGAATGCAGCTTAAAACGCTGCATATGCACTGTAAATAGTTTTTTCTTACTTGCGACGTTGTCAGATTACCGCCATTTTAGTAAAATTTTGCTTAAAAACATGGTATCTAAGAATTCATTGTAGAAGCAAAAAAAAGCAGTTAAAGATACAAAAAATACGTCTTTCCAATCACCACAGATCCGTTAAGAATTCTATTGAACCAAAATATCAATACATTGTACAGGGTGTTAACAATGTGGACTTCAATCTAAAACTTTTTAACGCAATATAACTTTTGTTTTTCAAATAGAAGTACCTGTATATTAATACGTCATTAGATAGACAATTTACAAAGTTACAAATTTGCATTTACACTTTAAGTTGTGAAATCAACCGTTTTCAAATTATAATTTATTTAATTTAAAAATTTCAAAAGTAGCTACGTTTTGTATGTGCGCTCTGCTTCTCTTTGTTCTCCGTAGTATCCACTGCATAACGGCCTTCGTCCATTTATCATCATTTCGCGCAATTTGTCCTGCCCAACGCCACTTGTTTTTTTTGCAGTTGGTTCTATGACGTCACTCACTTGGTTCTTGCCTTGATATCTTCGTTTCTTTGTCTATTTCTTAGGGTAATTCCCAGCATAGCACGCTCCATCGCACGTTGATAAACCCGTAGTACTTGTGCACGTTTCTTTGTCATGGTGACTGTCTCGAGCCCTTACAATATAACTGGTAGTACGTAGGCATCGTATATTTTCCGTTTCAGATTAATTGGTATCTTCGGTGCTTTAAGGATATATGCGAGTTTTCCAAATGCTGCCCATGCCAAACTGATTCTCCTCGTCATCTCGGCTGCCTGGTTGTCTTTGCCTAGCTTAGTGCTGTGTCCCAGATATATATATATATATTCTTCCACTAGTTGAAGTGTTTGGTTATCGATATTGACATTGGTGTTGGTGTTGTTTAAGCTCATTATCTTCGTTTTCTGGAGGTTCATTTCTAGTCTCGAGTCGCGTTTAGCTAGTCGTACTGAACAGACGTGTGAGCGAGAGCAATGAATCATATTTTTTACCAAACATTCATACAAAACTACGTTTCTATAGAAATATTCCAAGAATGTATCCAATTTACAACAGTTAAAATTTAAAAAATTGAGTAAAATCAAACGACAAAACCACGGTACATAATACCGTTGATTTAAAGTAAATCATGAGTAACGAAGAGACGTTAGGTAATTCTCCCTTGGAAGGAGGAATTGAAACAGACCCATCCCTTCAAAAATGATCACTCGAAGCCAAAACAGTGCAAATGAATGGCAAAGAGTACAGCCTAAAAAACGCCTTAGACAATCCGATAGTCTAACTGAAGACAGAAGAAATTCCTCATTTACAATCGAACAAGCAAATCACTTCCAGCCACTGTCAACCCAACCAGATGAAGAAACACCTCAAGAGCACAAACCACCACCTATCTTTATCCCGGACATAACGAACATAAATATATACATAATGCCTTTCTCGACGATTTACACAGGTGCACAGTATACAAAGAACCAAAATGGAAATATGGAAAATCAGCCAACTCAAACAAGAAGCCCAACAAGCAACACCGCAAGAAATAACCTATCTCATACAGATATTGAATTAATCAACAATCTAGCACCAAGAAACCCGAGGACTCGAACATCCTACAAGGAAATACTTCAGAAAATCCCACAAATGAAAACTATAACAACTTACCAAATTCAAATTATGAAGCACAAGCTTTTGCCAGACTTGAAAATATATTGACTAAACAAGCTGAACAGCTTTGAACACTGCTCAATCTAATTACCACGCTCATAAATAAATTCTGCAAAGGACCATAATACAATGCATATAGCGTCATGGAATGCCAATGGACTGGGGCAACACCGCCAAGAAATTGAGCTATTTCTAAAAACAAATAATATAGACATCTTGCTTTTGTCAGAAAACCACTTTACAACGAAGTCCTATTTTAAAATTAAAGGTTACACAGTCTATGACACTCCGCATCCAGACGGAAAAGCCCATGGAGGAACAGCAGTGATAATTAAAAACAACATCAATCATAATGAAATGGAAAAATACCAACTAGACTATCTACAAGCTACTACTGTTAAGATGGAAACAACGATGGGTAAAATTGCTATCCCAGCTATATATGGTCCTCCTAAACACTCGCTCAGTCATGAACGGTTACATCATTTCTTCGAAACACTGGGAAAAAGTTCATTGCCGGAGGAGATTATAATGCAAAAAATACGGCTTGGGGCTCAAGACTAACCACAACCAGAGGAAGAGTGCTTAACACCTACATAATAAATTATAWCCTCGCAACAATATCTACTGGACATCCTACCTACTGGCCAACTGATCTGAAGAAAATCCCTGACTTACTAGATTTTTTTGTAACCTCAGGACTGAATAGTGCCTACTGCCACACAAAACCGAACTACGAATTGTCGCCGGACCATTCTGCAATAGAATTATTCATTAGCAGTAGGCTGCTATTTAAACAAAATCCACCTCGGTTATATAACTCAAAAACAGACTGGGAATCGTTTAGACGACATCTGGAACATAAAATTCGCCTTAATATGAAGCTTAAAAGCCAAGATGTTGAATCTGCAATCGAAGTACTAAACAGACATATACAAGAGGCAGCAACTAAGGCTACTCCATACCTGAACACCAATAATCCGTATTTCTATCCAAGCAGAATCATGAAACTAATTCGAGAAAAAAGAAGAAAGAGGAAAGAATGGCAAAACAACAGAAGACCCCAAGATAAAGCAAAGCTTAACGCAATCTCAAGGCAATTAAAGCGCACACTCAAAGAATTCAAAAATAAAGAATTCCAAGATTTTCTCACCAATCTTTCACCCGGACCAAATCACATCTATTCCCTATGGAAAGTTAACAAAAAATTCAACAGACCGCAAATTCAATTGCCTGCCACCTCGCAAAAATCCATTAATCTGAACAAAATGGCACAAATGATGAGTGGGAGGACCATATTAACACATTCTTGCAGTCCCCACTACCAATGGATAAACCGTTAAAACCGTCAAGCCCAGGGAAAGTAAAAAACATAATCATGTCCCTAAAAAACAAGAAGGCCATCAGGCTATGACTTAATCACGGCAGAAATTCTGAAAAACTTAAATAGGAAAGCAATAATCTACATCAATCAAATAGTCAATTATATTTTTAGAACAACCTGCATACCAAACCAATGGAAAGTATCCAACATATTAATGGTACTAAAACCAGGAGAAGACAGCACTCCAAGGACACTCCAAGAACATGTTAACGAAGTTGAGAAATAGATGGCCAAATGGAAAATTAATATTAACGAGGAAAAGTGCACGCAGGTGCTATACGCTTTAAGAGGATCATGTCCTCCTATAAAAATCAACAACACCCCTATCTCAACTGCCAATCATGCAAGATATTTGGGGATGCACCTGGATAGAAGACTCACCTGGAAGATACACATCCAGAGGAAACGAAAAGAATTGGAAATAAAAACAAGGAAGATGCATTGGATGATAAGTATAAAGATTAAGTTTAGTCTTGAAAACAAGATCTTATTATAAAAAACGGTACTAAAACCAATATGGAGCTATGGTATAGAACTATGAGGAACAGCTAGCACTAGTAATATCGAAATACTGCAGAGATATCAGTCCAAAACGTTAAGACAAATAGTCAACGTGCCATGGTACGTAAATAATAACAACATCCACAACGATCTGAAAGTATCTACCATCCGCCATAAAATATGCCAAAAATCAACAAGATACCACACCAGAATTGGAAGACATCCAAACCCACTTGCTACCTATTAGATAACATACCAATACGACGACTCAAGAAAGCCCTACCGGAAAGATTCCTTTAACGGGCACAACTCCATATCGTTTGCAGTTATGGAGAAACCAGATCTCCGTCTTTATCAACTCTCTTTTTGTGGGGTACTTCTTGTATTTATGCCTCCGGTTACCCATACCGATATTAGAAAGGAAGGAAGCAGGTCACACAAGGAAGCAGGTCACACATTACACTGAAGAAAATCCAATGAAACGAGACATTTTTTTGTATTAAAGTGTGTATATTGATCAAGGGTGTGTTTTAATTCAACTCTTGAATATTAAATATTGCCAAACGTGTTCGACAATTACTCATTAGGGCCGCCATCATTAGGGCCGCAGGAAAACACAAGAGTTGCGACTAGCACCGTTGGAAAGTCATGAAGATGAATAAAATAAAATAAAGTAGTAAAGTAGTCACTTGCTCAAGACATAAGAGTACATCTCCAAGAGTGTAGAACAGAGCATGCCAACAGATATTGGCCAGGCGCGGATCTTCTGCGAGCCCAATAACTGCAAGCGCACTGAACGAATGGGAACTTAAAGGTACCACCGAGTCGTGGAGAAAGGTGGAAGGGTCAGAAATAAGCCACAGAGTTGATTTAAATGCCACGCGAGGCCAAGGCAACATCTAAATGGCTGATGTCAAGGAATCACTGGGCGCTGAGAACTCTGGTTGGGGTCATGACAATCGGTGTTAGCCCCGTATGTCCACAATGTGGAACGGCAGAGGAAACAGCGTATCACCTTCTAGGAAAATGTCACCACTGGTCGTCCATGAGGAAGCGCCTGCTTGGGGCCTCCACACTCTCCTGCACGGAACTGTCTTGCAGTTGCAATTTCTTCTCGTTTTAAATATTACCTATTTTGCGATTTGAAAACCGTTTTCAATACAACAAATTTTATTTACAGCGTTTTATAAGTCAGGTTCATAGATTTCCTTTTTCACGAAAACCGATTCTTAAGCATCGGCTAGGTAAAAGTGACTGCCCGTACATATTACATAAAACTTCCTTATATAATAATTTACTTAAATGCTTCGTATTGTTTGGGAATTGTTTATATCTATAAATACATCTTACAATGTGGAGGTATGGGAATAATGTGTAAAATTACTTCAAATGTGTAACTGAATTGTAAAATACTGACCTATAATATACGAAATATAACATTAAACATGTAAAAACATTTGCTGAAATGATAAATATACTACTTGGTATAATAAATATCAGCTGTTTAGGTCGCAATCTTATAAGTCAATAGGAATAAATGCATAGGCAGTACAGAAATGAAAGACGCTATTTAGGTTGACATATTAATTTATCGTATTTTGATCAGACTTCTAATTTCTCAACAAAAACTGAAAAAATAAATAGAAAAAATCTTATAACGATTTTACGGCTGCAATAATTGTGCCAGTATTATATAATAATAGAACTGGTATCTAAATATACGTCTAATAAACAATTCAACGAGAAGTAATTGAGCAATAGTATGTAACAAGCTCGGAACACAAGTAAATAAATATTCTACTTAAAAATGTGATAAACCGGAGTACTTAACTAACAGGTATAACAAGCTATCACACAAAAAATAACAAGCATTTGGTAAAAAAAGTCTTTGGCTCCGGTTTGCTGAATCTCAAACTTTTCGGAATTTTAAATAACAAAACTTAATAGAATCCCTAGTCAACTTTTAGCAAAAACGACGGGCTTGATGAATTTGCAACAGATGCCGTCAGGGGGTCATGCCTCTTCAAAATCATCAAGCTTTGCAATTAAAGCACAAAATTAAAATTCTAAGAGTATAAAACGAAATAATATTGTATGATCACAATGTTAATTGCAAAACGTATTCATGTACAGCAAATGTTGTTTAGTGCTCTCTGCATTATACATCACAGTATATGAAATCAATGCATATGAAAATAATATGTTTATATACTGTTAGTAATTTTCTTACTGCAACTTACTCACATAACGAAGTTAAGATCGGCTGATGTTGAGCGATCAAAAATTAGCGGTTACTTGAAAACTTCTACCGTAAATTTATTCTACCAAGATAGTAATTTCAATTACATAGAATTGTAAAAAAGAATACTTTCACATTTTCTCCTCCATAGTAGGTAATACCTTATTTACTTAACTGCGCGTTATTCTTCTAATCAGTCTTATCTATTCTATGACGAGCCTTATGAAAAAGAATAATAGGAGCTTAAGAAATACCTACTGCTTTTTTACGATTGATTGTTTTAGGTTGAAAATAGTTTATTGTTCATCAAGATGTATGTTATCGCTTATTAAAAACATTAATTTTACACTTGTTTAAGTCCATTATAATATTTCCTGAAAAACTTAATTTTGGTTTATCACAGTCGTGATAAATTTGGCTGTATGACTAACAGTAACTGAAGTATCAACATAAATAACTATATCTTAAATATAATGCATTAAGTTCGCAATGTATTGTCTTCATATTCCAAAAGTTTTCTGCTCATTGCCACAAACAACTTATCCGAAAATGTATAATCAATCATGTGAGTATTATAAAACGGTAAGTATAACTCAAGTTCCAATGATGCAAGCGAATGTGTATTAAAACGCATCAAGCAATGCTATTTCGATAGTTAGTTATAGTCAGTTAAGAAATGAAGCACAGTTAGAAATATATAGATAATTTTCTACTAACCGAGCGTACAGTTCTCTTCGTACTTTGGCAGTAAATTTGTGAACTATGCAAAGTGATGCGGCTGCTGCAAATAAAATATTGTATAGTAGCACGATTTTAAAGTTTCCCAACCATTCAACGCTGCCAAAGTCGCCCAGAAGATCAAAATTAGTTATTCCTGAAAAAAAAAACTAGTTAATTTGAATCGTCATTAATCGAATTTCTAAATGTTTATTCTGAAATAGAATAAAAGGGGTCTATTTTTCAACATTTAGTAAAAAATTCTGGAAAATAATTAACTTTTTGCAGCCTATCTGAGGAATCCGAATTTTACTGAATATTTGAGTATGGATTAAAAAAGACGCTATCGGATTTCCTGATTTTACTAGATTTTACATATTTTAGGAGAAAACCTGGTGGACGTTGCTACAACAATCTGTTTTCCACTTTATATAGGGGGTGGCAATTTGAAAACTTCCCACTCTTAATATCTTTCGTGCAGTTAAAAGTATGAACAATCGAAGACACGTCAACTTTCTTTGTAAGGGGGACACTTTCAATAAATATTTTTTATTATTTATTTTATAACTAGTATCGGATAATCCTATAACTCCATTGCAATAAACGAATTGAAATTTTAAACAAATAAATTTTTCACTTTTTAAGCAAATATATTCAATATTCATTTATTAAAATTGGTTTTTTCTTCAAAAATTTACCAGATTTTTTTGGGGAAAGTTTATAGTAGGTAAATTGTATTCATTTTTATTATTTTAGATTTAGACGCTCGCAGCCAAGGAAACACAACCCACATGAAGGCAGTGGGAAAAAGATAAGCAAAGCCCAGAACATCATCTTAGTATTGACGCTCGTAGTGGAAGAAACACAACTCACAAGAAGCCAGTGGAAAAATTATCATTCAAAAACTATTTTTAGTCAAAATAGACATTCACTACTTTCAAATAAAAGGGCTCATATTGTATCCAAGGTTTCCAAAACCCTTCTTGGAATATGAAAAACGCATACTCCCGAAATTCGGTTTTCTTTCGTTTCTTGGGAGACCGCGGGTGGTGTGTATTAAACATCCTGACAATGGATTGCCTAATTAGACGCTGATGAGATTTATAGGTATAAAACCCCATTTATAGGTATAAATCTCATCAGCGTGTGTAATATATGGTACTAGCGAATAGACAGAACTTGTCGAAATGTGACTTTGCCTGTTGGGTGACCTTACAGAAATTCCTAAGAAAAAAATCATAAATTATAAATTAGCCTCTATAAATTCTATTATAATTAGATATCATATCATGTCAAACAAGAGTGTAGATATTGGAGTGGCAAAAACTCGCAAATTTTTCGAGAAAGACGTACACAATATTCTCAAAAAGCTCATGTTTGGGCTGGAATTCTTGGAAATGCCATTATTAGTCCTTTGTTTATTGAACTTAACTTGACAGGTGATCTGTATCTTAATGTGCTTGAAGAGACTATAAAATCAAATTGATGCAGATGGTAATTAAATTTTACAGGAGGATTTGTTAACATTTCATTAGGGTGGTGATTCGCCTCATTATTTCTTCCGGTTCAACAGTGGTTAACCGAGAGATTCCCGGATAGATGGATTGGCAGAAGGAATGGCCTCCAAGACCTGCGGATTTAACACCCTTGCACTTATTTCTTTGGGGACATCTAAAATAAATTGTTTATACTGCTGATTACAACCTGCTGATATTGATGATCTTCAAAGGCGAATTGCAGCAGAATGCCGGTCAATTTCCGGTGAAGTTTTCCGAAATTATAGAAAGGACGAAAACGGACTAGGTATATTATTTTTTAGAGCAGAATGATCAACATTTTGAACAACTTATAAGATAGAGCGTAAGTAGATCGCATGTGTTTTATGGTAGAAATTTCTCTTCCGCAACTAAAAAGTTATTTTTGCCAAAGTAAAATAATCAATGAATAAGATTCATTGATTAATTCAATAAAAGTCAATTCTTTAAACTAGATTTTCTTTTTGTTAGTTAACGATTTTAACGGTGTAATCTAGTCTTCTAATCATTTGTACTTACAAGGAAACCCAAACCAATAATTTTTGTGTAAACACTAACCTGAAAACCAAAATCTCAATGCATGAAAGTTTAATTATTTCTGTAACTTTGAAAGGTGATTATTCAGAAACGCCTGGGCAAAAAGCAACAAATTAGGATACCACTGAAAAGACAATTGGGGCCCTTTAAAACGTATGTACCACTTGACCCCCATTCCCATTTAAGATTCTAAGGGTGAGATTTACAACTCCCAAGGGGTTGACTTCGATTTTTGATATTTTTATTGCAAGAAAGATATTAAGGGTGGGAAGTTTTTAAATTGACACCCCATATAATTATAAATTAAGATCTGACACCAATATTTGGATTATTATCAACGTTTAAGTTAACTCAAGTCAAATAATATTATTTTCATTCCAGAAATGTGTGGTTTAGCTTTGAACTATTCATTAGTTTAGTACATGCCAAATAGACTAAGATCATATAAATGAATGCCTATTGTTGAAATCATAAAGACATCATTGCGATCTTCAAACTTTTAATAAGGAATTAACCAAAAAAGAGTAAAAACTTTTCATTAGTTGTCACTAACTTGTTAACAGTACATAAGTTGACAGATATGAAATTAAAACTGAAACGTGTAATATTGCGCAATAATATAAGGGTAAATCAAAAGTTTTTTCCGATTTTGTACTGAAAATTTAAACATAATTTTACAATTGAAAGACAATTAATTTTAAAAGTAAAAACCATTTGAATATACAGGGTGATTCAAAATTGGCGTAATTCCTTTTAAGGGGTGATAGAGGCTCCTTTGGGGAGTACCAGAAAAATATTGAAATTTTTTTTTCGAAAATTTCTAGAAGATATTAACAGTTGAAAATCGAATTTCAACTTTGTTATTAAGCATTATTTTAAAAAAATCCCACGTTGGATTGGCAGCCTACTGGAATACTTAAGCATTCCAAAAATTACGATCTTTGCTTCAAATTACGAAAAATGTTGATATCAATGATGTTTTTTGTCATTAACAGATAGTTACAGGTGAATAGCCCTTGTCAATAATAACAATAATTTGTCAAACTGTGACTTACTTTGAATTTCCTTTCACGAATTTTCTGATATGCGATTAGTTCAGGGGAAATGCCACAGTAACATAGCTCACGCCAACAAAGGGAGAGGAGAGTGATTCCAGGAAGATAGTGGACGACAATTGATGTTCGGGTTCCAGGCACAGATGAACAAGTATTGGACATAATCGAATCAGGGCCTTCCAGGGGTACTCAGAGCACAATAACTGACACTTTCCCAAGCACCAAGTAAATACCGAGGAAAGGCGTTTGTACGATACACACAGCACAAGGAGATACAAATGGAGCACGAGTTAATTAACTGAATACGAGAAGCTGCTTGATAAGAGTGGATAATAAGGAGATTACACACGCGCTAGCTTGTTTGGAGTTAACCATTCAAATGTTTGGTGTTGTATGGAGAATTTATGTAAACACAAAACCTCGCAAAATTCGAGGTTATGAGAACAGGTTGACATTTCGTCAACAAATCTTGTTGAATTTACCGTTTATCCTTGTCTATCTTATTGTCAGTCTGTATAATTCCATGGTTACCGGAGTTTTAAATAATTACGAAGCAACAGGTATTTACGCAATGTTAATTAGCCAGATTACCTTGAAAAACATTGCTGTCGTTTTTTAATAACAATTAATTTCTTTTATTTTTCCTGTACTCCTATAACAGCGCCAGACAACACCTCCAGAGGAATGACGCCAATTTTGAATCACCCTGTATGGCTTGAAGCCACCTATCAGCAAGTTGAAAGTGAAAAGTGCGATCCCGCTGCGACTCTTTACTGCGACTGCGAGATTATTGAAGCTAGGACCACAAATAAAGTGTGCCCTGGCGTGGAAAAGGTGATATCCGGATGGCGCAAGATCCGGACTATATGCTGGGAGAGGAAGAAGTTCAATCGCCTCGAGATATTTGATCTTTTCCTGGGTTCCTTTGGCTGTATGCGGTATTGGGTTGTTTTTTACAAGAGTAAGCGCTTTCGATTAACCAAGTATCGCATTTAATCGATCAGTTGGGCAGAGTAGACGTCTGCGTCGATGGTCCAACCATTTGAAACCACCTTGAAATAAGTTATGCCTTCGGAATTCCACCAAAGGCAAAAAAGTTCCTTCTTTGGGAAACGATCACGTTTTGCTACCGGTTCGAACAATTTGAACAAATTTTGCGCAGTACAAATCGAAACCACGCTGCAGTTGCGTTGAACCCTTCTTTCCAGAAATGGAATAAAAGAACATGAATTCCATATTTGTACATGGTTCATCTTGAAGTTATAATCGGCCAATTAAAAGTTTTAATATATGTATATTATGATTTATTCATGATGAAATTCAAGAGCTTTAAAAATATAAATAGCACACGTATTAAAACATCTTTGTGGCAAAAAAACGTAGAAAATCGGAAAAATATTTTGTTTCACCCCACTATGTATATGTATTAATAATTGTAAACTTACCTAAAGTTTTCGACAACAATGGGAAGGCTGAACTGATCATAAGTAACAATGCACAGTTGGCTATAATAAGAGTAAACGACGTTCGCTTAATAACTGGCCTAATATTTTTCATACAGGAACTAGTGTAAAGACCTATCGAAGAAGTGGCAATAAAATACACTATCATGATGATCTCCAGTCCGGCTCCAAAAGGTCCCAATTTGAACAAAGAGTTTACACCTAAAGTAAATTGCTAAAAATCAGAACTAGTCAAATGGTAGGCAAATAAATAATGACCGCTAGTAAAATCAGTATTACACAATCCGATTATACTAAGAAGAAAATTCCTTACTTTTGAACTAATTGGCAAAGCTCTAATGCCTATCAGCATTGAAAGAATATTCTGCCCTACTAAAAGAACAGCAATCACAGTGAGCCCAATTAAGAGCAACATGGCAAATGGATAAGCAACATTTCTTCTCAGCGAAGACGTTTTTCTCTGTTTATCTAGAAGTAATTAACAACTATATGAACCGCAAATCAGTTACGTCAATACCAATTACCTAAAAGTTTTCCTTTCTCTTCAATTTCTGATATTTGATATCCTAATGTGCTCCGCACGTCCACATTGCGCATGCGAATATTGATGTGATTTGATTTATAATCATCATCTTGTGTACTTCCACTCTCCATCGATATCGGAGTTCTCACATGATAGACACCTATAACAGTTGAAAAATGTATATTTACCATACACACTCACCTTTGAAAGCTGCACAAAACACATACCATTATTCTTTGCTTGCCCCAGTCGTTTGATTAAACATTCTTCCTCCATAACACAGGCTAAATATTCTTCATTTATATCATGAAGAAATTGGGGTTTTATCAAAAATTTCCCAACGACATCGAAAAGGCGAACAAACCCCAATGGCGTGCAAACTAAAATGTTAAGATAAAGAAATGTACATGGAGTCTAGTAAATCATATTATATCAAATGCAGAAAATAGTACTGCTTATATCTGCAGGTTACGTGCTAGTGATTATTAATTAAAAAATCAAAAAAGGTCCAACTTCGACAATGAGGCCAGGAACTGGATAAATTATTGGAACTTGAACTATTTTATCAACTCATCAAACCATACCTACAAACTAATCACAAGCACAAAGTACGACGAAATCATACCGCATATCAAAAACACAGCATCGGAAAAAGATAAACTGAAGGCAACGCCTTTGAAAAGTTTAACCTACCACAGCTTTCGTGTACGCCAGTATTTTGCTTTAGACTAGCGTTCTTTAGTGCGTGACTGGAACGGGGCGCTCGAATCACACACGGTATATAAGAAAAATACTGGCCTACGTGAACGCTGCACGTTGAAACCTACAGGTGTTGCGTTGCGATAACGAACTGCAAACGTTTGCACAAATTTGTGTACATCATGCTTTTCGTGCGGGATTTTACCGTGTGATATCAGAGTGGTCTCAAATCTTGGGTATTTTGCTTAGAAATAATTGGTCGGACTAAATCCAACATTTTAAAAATTTTACAGTCCATACGAACATCATTTTTAAAGTCGTCAGGATAATACTGTCGTAATTCATTGAATTTCATGTCGTCATCAATGGCATATGCCCATATTTATTACGATCTTTCCTCGATTTAAAGATGTTTTCACCCATATTCGCTTTTTTCTTTTCTTTATTCATCAAATTCATATCACAGAGCCACATTTCATTTTTTTGCCTAATTTTGAGCCAAAACTGTGGTCAATCCTTTTAGAAGTTCTAAAACTCCACAAGCCACCCAATTCGGGAACGATCTTCCGATTTTGCATTTATTCTCAGAAGCTTATCATCTCACATGCCAAGGACGTTGGAAAAGAGTTGGTTATTACAACGTTCCAATTGTAGTGACACGCTCTTGAATCGCCACAATTTTCGCCAACTGCTGAACCAGCGATGGGCGGGTCGTTCCCGAACTGAGCGATAACAGCGAAGAGGTGTGATAAACGGTTATTTTTCTGTAACAGGTTCAACGTTTCAGTTTCACCTTGGTAATCGGTTTCAAAATGCGGTTTGACAAGAAACATGTTACTTTTTAAATTTTTCATAAAAAATGCAGAATGATGATAGTAGAAATAGTGATGATATATAATGATTTCCTTTAGAGTAACTACTTAAAATTACTCCTTAGAAGTAACTACTTAAAGAACAAAAAACTGATAATAAACAAGTATGATTAAACAAAATATACGGTTTATATGCGAAAATTTTTAAAAATATCAGTTTCATGTAATTAACATTTAAGAATTACATTTTGCAGACGCTTCTTACTGATTTTAGTTCTTCGCGCGTTTATAATAACACCCGCTTTAGAAAAGAATTTCTCGCATTTCGTTTCAAATAATCCACAATAACAACAAACAGAAATGCGTGTTTGGCAAACCTGGACGAAGTATTACTCGAGTTAATTTTGGTACCACCAAAAAATAATTTTAAAAAAATATGCCGATCTTACAACGATTATTACTATTCAAATAACTTTTATTTCATCTCTGACTGAATTTATATTTAAAAATGGCCTACTTGCTTAAATGCAGGTGCACATTCTGCTTAAAACGTGTGTTATTTTACATTTCAACTGTGATGAAATTTATGTATTGGACTCTTAGTTTGCTCATAGCTCATATGCAAGTGCACATTTTGCTTAGTTTACTGGTAATGGCCATATAACTCCCAAGCTATGTTTCTTGAGGGAAATCCCTTTTTTAAGATTTATTACAGATTGTCAGAAAACTAAATACTTATAGATTCAAATTGCTGAATTATAGCATCGCAGCAATTAAACAAATTTTCGCTGGTTCCTGGAGAACTGAACAGTAATTCTAATAACGAAAAGTGATACACAATCATCAAGGCAACGCGCAACTATATACCCGTTGACAAATGGTTACTGAAACTGCTGCAACTGCAAGAGCGAGCGCGCTCGACGATGCCAGATCGGTTCTGTGCTAACGCGAACCACTTTTTTAGGTTTATGAGACGATCTCAAAAAAAACCTTTAAGACGGCAAACGGCTGCAGCTGGTGCGAAGTGCGCACAACTGTTTTGGTTTTATGATACGGTTCCAAAAACAACGGTTTCAATTGGCAAACGACTGCAGGTGGATAGATCGCTCGACGGTGTCCGAAGTGCGCACCGCTATTTCGGTTTTCTGAGACGGTTCTAAAAAAACGGTTAAATCGGCGAGCAGTAACTACGGTTTCAGGCTACACGATTGGAACACTGTTATTTTAGCGGTTACGTTAAATACCGACTATCCCTATAAGCGCGTAAGTATACAGGCACCTAATTGAACAGGTTCCACCTTCGGCGACTGTCGCCCGCAGTCGCTAGTAGCAGCTACAAAAAATCGACAGTATTTAAAATAATGAGTTCCATATTCAGTGTCAAAACTGTCGCGCTACAAAAGTCGATCGTCTGCGGGTGCCCTTATAGTATAGTTATGAGTCATGGGCTTTCCCTTTAAGCGGTGCAGCGCGTTCTATATATTTTTGTTTGTTTTACTGAAGAGACCATGACACAAGTCGGTTGCGTTGTTTCAATGAATGGAACGCACGCGCGAACATTTTGAAACCAATAGAAAAATTTGTTAATCTCCAGATAAAACCAGTAACATATACAGGGTGATTCAAAATTGGCATCATTCCTCTGGAGGTGTTGTCTGGCGCTGTTATAGAAGTACAGGAAAAATAGTAAAAGAAATTAATTGTTATTAAAAACTGAGAAATTTGCAAAAAACTATATCAGAAATACGGCAGCAATGTTTTTCAAGGTAATCTGCCAGATATAATACAGACTGACAATAAGATAGACAAGGATAAACGGTAAATTCAACAAGATTTGTGTCGAAATGTCAACTTGTTCTCATAACCTCGAATTCTGCGGGGTTTCGTGTTTACATAAATAATGCATACAACACCAAACATTTGAATGGTTAACTCCAAACAAGCTAGTGCCTGTATAATCTCCTTATTATCCACTCTGATCAAGCAGCTTCTCGTATTCAGTTAATTAACTCGTGCTCCATTTGTATCTCCTTGTGCTGTGTGTATCGTACAAACGTGGTAGAAATGTAGCCCTTCCTCATAATTTATTTGGTGCTTGGGAAAGTGTCAGTTATTGTGCTCTGAGTGCCCCTGGAAGGCCCTAATTCGATTATGTCCAATACTTGTTCCTCTGTGTCTGGAACCTGAACATCGAGTGTCGTCCACTATCTTCATGGAACCACTCTCTTCGCCCTTTGTATTCATATGAACACTATGTTCATGTATGTTTAATAAATATGAGAACAACGCTCGATCTTTGATATTTTGGTTGATTAAAAAGAAAGTGAGAAGGAAAAAGTTCCACGATATAAATGCCACTGGTTGCGTGCGATTTCCAAGTGTTAGTCCGGTAAATTCTGCAAAATGATTAGAATTTGGCAGGAAACATAAAAGTACAAAAAGAAGTTTATATTTAAAAAAAATTGCAGTTCAGAAAATACGCAATTAAAAACACGAATGTACGGGTCCCAGCGATTTTTCTAAAAATAAGCACCTGGTTTTTAAATAACTGAAATGCAATGCATTTACCGCCCACTGCCTACAGGGTGATTCAAGAATGGCGTCATTCTTTTAAGGGGTTATGGAGGCTCACTTGGAGAGTAATTTCATGAAGATATTCACAGTTGAAAATAGAATTTCATTTTTGTTATTAAGCATTATTTTGAAATGGTCTCATGTTTGATTGGTAGGCTATTGGAATACTTAACCATTCGAAAAGAAAAATTAGCATCTTTACTTCAAATTACGAAAATTCTTGAAATTAATAATGTACCTACGATTCTACAATTTTATGACGAAAAGTCAAAGCGACAACGATGTATTTTGCTATTCACAGATAGCTACCGGTTGTCAAACTGTGACTTACTTTGAAGCTCCTCTCAGAAAATGTATACCATTTTGTGTGTGAATATGGGATTAGTTGCCACAGTAACATAGCAGAAATGCCACAGTAACATAACAGAAACTGTAAGAACTTATACCAGCAATGAGGCTAGAGAAACTGGACGATTGGCTCCAGAATTTGACGCAGATAATGGACGAGATCGTCGGACACCTTTAGATAAAGGTGTCCGGATTCTAGACCTAGAGAAACATGCATTGGAGATAAATGCAGGTGAGTCTTCTAGGAGTACTCGAAGAACAACTGACACTTTCTCAGGCACAAGGTAAGTGTCCCGATAACTCCCAGGAGGAAGAACTACATCCCTAGCATGTTTGTTATTGATTGCTATTATTAGCAAATTGAGCAGGAGCTAATTAGCTAAGAGCTGTTCAAAATGTGAGCCCAGACCGGTTCGAAAAGTGCGCAATAAAGTGATGTGTGATGACAAACATGTTTAGAATTAAACGGCTAATGGTATGTTATTTGGCTAATATTGATGATTGATAAATAACCTTTGACAGGAGGTATTTGTGGCGGATTTAGGTATTGTTACGGCTTGATTTTTAGCGCACAGCGGCCGATTGGGCTATGAAAATCCCGAAAAATGGAGAATCTTCGCAGGTCGTCGAGAGCCCTTGCGCGCTAATATAAATACGGCAAGGCGACCGGAGTGAAGAGTTAATCAGACTTCAGTCACACTTAATTCAGTGAAATATTTAAAGCGATATTCAGAGTGTGTTCGATTCGCGAGCTATAGTTTTGAGTTAGTTAGTATTTGGGAGTTCAATAAATTGTTGTGTTATTTTTTTTGGTTTACTGGAATCATTCGAACCCCGGGAAACGTAACAGTATATCACTCATCTCCCTCAAAAAGGTTGGCAGCTCTGGCGGCAAAGTGACTGCGTTACCCTAATCTTAAAATATTTCATTGTACTTTCACTTTATTTGTTTGTGTTTACCCCTGAAACAACTGGTATTTACGTAATGTTAATGACGCAGATTAGTTTTTTACAAATATACTGTTTTTAATTAAAATTATTTTTTTCACTATTTTCCTTGTACTCCCAGAGGAAGAACACAGAGGAAAACACGAACATTTTGTAAATAGCAGGATTTTAGAAATAGCATCAAATGTTATATAAAAAACTAAACCCGATTAAATGTAATCTTAAAACCTAAACTCTATGAAACTTATCAATATACTTACCCAATAAAATTAGGGCTCCTATAAAAGATATGCAAGAGTATAAAAATGGCAGGTACATCCATAAGTCTAAAAACAAATCAAAGCATATTACTATAGCAAATTACGATAATTTACTTAAAACTTACTAAAAATAGGAACAATTGTGGCTTCTTCATCATTAAACAACGCAGAAAGAACATACGTCATTCCAAGCACTACTATTGCCAAAAGAACGAGTACTATAAAGGTCTCATAGACTCTGGCCCATAGGCCTTTGCGATGGCCCAAAAATCCCTCAGATTCGGTGAACAAATAAGCAAACGGGAGAAAAACAAACATGGACAAATTGGAAAATAAAAATACATAGTTCCAAAGTCCTGAAAGAAACCAGAAATGTAGTATACAGATTGCTAATAAATAATAAAAATTACCTTGAATTAATGAGGAGTTCAACCATTTAATATAGTAACAATCTGCATAATTTACGAGCACCTCATTAGATATTATGGATATGGGAAGTAGCAAGACAGATCCTATAGAAACAGCCAAGGAAAATGTGCATAACCAAGTGCTGATTCTGTACACAGTAATCTCATCTTCATCACAGCTATAGTAGTCTAGTTTCTCTAAATAAGTTAATTTATTTTAGTGAGGGCAGGTCAGTGTGTTCCGATATTAATTTATTTTTATTGATGCATTATAAATGTATTTAATTAAATACGTAACTGACAAAACAATGTGCTTCATAAACAATGGCATCACCTTGTAGAGCCCGAAAAGGTGCCCTGTAAAAGCATTTTTTGTTTTTTGATATGATTTGAAATAACTTCAAACATGGAATTAAAAAGACGAAAATCACAAAAATTACGTTTTTCTAAATATCTCAAAAATGTAAAGAAATACTTGTTTTTTGAAAATAGCCCCCAGATTGCGCAACTTTTTCCTAACTTCACCGACGTATCTCTTACGGTTTTGGAGACCCCCAAGCAATGCATCCTTATCTTGAACACCCTGTATACACTAGCAAAGTTTCTTTAACCCGCAACGACAAATATTTTCCTTCGATAAGGATATGAGGCTCATATTTAATCTGGGACATTTTAGTGTAATTATCGTACGATACTCATACTGCTATATTGATACTTAATAATGCATTAGTAAGTTAAACATTTAAACTGATGTATGTCATTAGCACCAATATTGTCGTATTACCTTTTCTTTTAAATTTTCCTAAAATTACAAAACTGGCCAGGTAAAGGGCAAGAAACAGCAGCAAGAATATCTGAAACAAAAATTGCGGTTTGAGTATGCTAATAATCTAGAAAACTGTGTATTATACTAATAATGAATCCTAGACTCCAATTGGAATATAGATAAGTGTAATTTTCTTAACTAAAAGGTTCTCAATTTTCTCATGCTCATTTAATTTTTTTTTAATGAGTCAATTTTTCACCAGATTTCCTTATTAGCTCCGCTTCTGGATTTTTGAAGACATTATCTTCAGCATTATTTCAAAGAGAGTAAAATTTTTAGTTAATCTGGAAATTTTCTTTTAGGCAAGTTTTCGGAAACATTTAGATAAATCGTCAAAGTTCATTCATCATATCTCGAAAACGAAGCTTTTCGACCTACATTTACGTAATAAAAAATTCAATATTTAACTCATCAAGTCTGGCACCTTGGGGTTGGAACACTTTGTGTATATTTTGGTCAAGTTGCACTTTGAACCTTGCTATTAATTAATATTTTAAAGTGGGTCCGTCCAATATATCCGGTCAATGGTCATTTGGCAAACTATTAGTGTTCTAAACATTACGAATTAGACACTACTAAACTTGCTTACTTAGACAAAACTCATCTCATCTCGGGTATAGCTAAGATATTTGAGAAAATAATATATAACAGACTTCAAATATTTTTGGCCAGAAGTGACATTCTGGCTAAAAATCAATATGTCTTTGTTAGGGAAAAGGGTACCAAAGATGCCTTAAAAACTATATGATAAGTTAGACAAAAGTCAACCAGTAGCAATTGCTTTTCTGGACCTCGCTAAGGCTTTTGATACTATAAACCATGAAATTTTGTTAAACAAATTGTACAATTATAGAATTAGGGGCAATGCGAATAAGCTTTTAGCAAAATTATCTAAGTAATAGAAAACAACAGGTTAGGATTGGTGATACTGTTAGTGAGATATAGTGGTATAGTTAATACGGGTGTTCCACAAGGGACAATTTTGGGGCCACTGCTCTTTATAATATATGTTAATGACTTATTAATTGAAATGTATGATAATGCAATGTCTTATGCAGATGATACTCCTATTGTGGCAAGCGATGATACCTGGGAGAAAGTTGAGGACATTATGAATCACTACCTTAACAAGGTCGCAACTTGGTTAGACCTTAATAAGCTGTCACTAAATGTTGAGAAGTCAGTATACAGGGTCCGTCTTTGGGAGCTTACACTAGAAGTATTCGCTAAACCAAAATTACCAGAGTTCTGAAAATTCCGATACAAAGTAACGATGTTGGGGCTAACTCATATAAAATATTTTCAAGGTTATACCGGAAGTGGTACCGCTTGGAAATAATTCGTTGTTCCGCCTATTTCGGTCAATCAATTTGAATATAACTTTAGCTTGTAGTAGCCAAAGAAAGGTGCCATATCTCAATGTACTAAAAATGAGTTTTGCATCTCTTATAAAAAAAAAGTTATGAAAAATTAAACTTGACTTAAAAAAGCATATTACCCAAAAAATTCAAATGGAAACCCCTATTTTTTTCTATTCAGATCGATTTAGTGACAAAAATTAATGCAAGTTTATAAAAAGATTTATGAGGCTAAACGTAACAGTTTTATAGTTATTTTCAATAAACTACATACATCAGGAGTGGCATTTATAAATTTGTGTTAATCTGACGCAATGGCTCGACTTGGATTTTCTAATCAAGATTATTTAATTTTAATACTAATTCACGGAGAATGTCATAGAATTGTAGTGCGAACAGTAAGAACTTTTATCGAACGCTATCTAGAGCGTCCCCGACCATCAGCGGATACTGTAAGACGTCTGGTTCAAAATTTGGAACAGTTTGGCACATTTAAATATTCTGCATCCAGAACAAAAACTGCTGTTGATAACGAGCCAAATGAGATAACCACTTTAGCGTATTTCCGTGCATATCCTTATAATTCCATAAACGACGCGAAAATTGGGATTGGTTTGACAACGGCGACCATCAGGATTCTTAAAAAACATAAATTTAGACCATACTGGTTGCAACTAGTTCAACATTTGAAAGAAGCCGATTTCGAACGCCGAACGCGTTTCTTTCTGTGAGATTATTTTACTAAAAATACAAGAAATTACAAATTTTTTGAGTAATATTATCTGGACGGACGAATCTAAATTTACTAAAAATGGCATATTTAATAGACGAAACTTGCATTACTGGAATAACGACAATAGCAATTCTATTCGCGAATGTCATTTTCAAGAAATTTGGAACTTTAATGTGTTTTGTGCTATTCGTAATAACTAAATTTTTCACGTATTTTTACAACGAAAATTTGAGAGGTTAGTAGTTAATAGTTGACTTATGCATTTTATAATTACTGTATGTGTGTATTTAATTTATAGGAAAAATTTATCTTCAAATTTTAAATACTGGAATTGAACCCCGAATAAATAATGTAGGGACATTTTATGGTACCAACAAGATGGTGCGCCCCCTCACAGCACCAATGCTGTTTCCATAAAATTTCTGTAGATCGTTGGCTTGCCAATAACGGTCCCTTTCAATGGCCACCTAGGTCACCTGACCTTACGCCCATGGATGTTTATCTTTGGGATCGAATTAAAGATTTTGCTTATGCTACACCATTAACGACCAAGGAAGAGTGCACCATTGCAATGGTGCGAAATGCCTTCAACTCTCTTTCCCCTAAAGAGATTCAAAGAGCTACAAATGGAGCTGTTACAAGGCGTGTTCAACAATGCCTTGCATCTAACGGACAACATTTTGAACATTTATTGTGATTAAAAATTGAACATATAATAAATAAGTAATAAAAAATTATAGTAAATTGGTAGTTTATTGAAAATAACTATGAAACTGTTACGTTGAGCCTCATAAACCTTTTTATAAACTTGCATTCATTTTTGTCACTAAATCGATCTGAATAGAAAAAAATTGGGGTTTTTATTTGAATTTGGTGGATAATATGCCTTTTTTGACAGCCAAGTTAAATTTTCCATAACTTCTTTTTTATAAGAGATGCAAAACTCATTTTTGGCACATTGAGACATGGCACATTTGGCTGCAACAAGCTAAAGTTATACTCAAATTGATTAACCTAAATAGGCGGAACAACGAATTATTTCCAAGCCTGCACCTGTCAATTTTTTTGGAAAATATATATTATTCCACAACCGTTGAAATTTCGTACCCAGTTCATTTAACAAAATGACCCAAAAATGCGACCGAGAATCCAAAAATGTAATAATATACAGGGTGTTTCATTCAAAATTAGCGAGTAAGTACCTACTTCCGGTATAACCGGAAGTGGTACCGCTTTGAAAATATTTTAGATGAGTTAGCCCCAACATCGTTACCTTGTATTGGAATTCTCAGAACTCTGGTAATTTTGGTTTGCCGAATACTTCTAGTGTAAGCTCCCTGTATATAACTTTTGGAATCTATTGTAATAGTGTTCCGCGAAATATAAAAATTCAAATCAATGGGAAAAGTTTGAATAGGGTAGAATCGTGCAAATACTTGGGAATAATTTTCGATCATAATTTAAGGTGGAATAAACTTGACAGCTGTCAAGAGATACTTATTTGAGAAAACTTATTTATGATAATTTTTTCAATTACTCCTAGTTCCGTTGATATTAATTTGCCAGGAAAACATGTAAGAAATTGAATTCCAAACTCCAAATTCCCTTTTTGATATATGACACAAATTTTAGTTTTTTTAAATGACAACCATACTTGGTTATTGCTTTACCGAATAGAGCATTTTATTACAATTTCTCTGATATATCACATCGCCAGAATTTTTTCGAAAATAAAGTGTCTGCGAACAATTTGTACTTTTTGAATTCAGTTGATCTAAGTTAGTCATAGAAAATAGTATAAGCCAGCATTGTTTCCATAGCATCAAATAATAACATCTTTCAATTTTTGACATTCAAGTTTAATCTCAACTTAGAAATCCAAGTTAGTTTTATTGTAAAAATGAATTATTCCAATCAAGAAAAGCGCGACATAATTGAAACCTACATTAGATGTGATAAAAATGCTAGACGAGCCTCTGACTACTATTTTTAGAGATATTTTGACCGTCGTCAACCGTCTTTGAAGGCATTGAAACGATTATACCACAATTTGGGCAGTTATGGATGTTTTACGCAGCCAAGAAATGAAGATAAAGTAATAAATGAAGCTGTGGAGGTTAATGTATTGGCCATTGTAAGCCAGAATCCACAAGTTTCCACCAGAGAGATTGCAGCAGAAAAGATGAGAGTTTTAAAAAAATACAAATTCTATCCTATAAATTATCAGTATCTCAAACTTTGCATTCAGGGGATTAAAAGCTGCGTGAGTTTTTGTACAGGGTTTCGAAACAAATGCCAACAAGACATCCAATTCTCTTATAAAATATTGCGGACCAATAAAACTCGATTTAAAATTTGTGGTATGTTTAATCGACACAATGAACATATTTGGAATCAAACACATCCCCACCACGTTGAGCAAAGGAGACCACAAATTAAATTTGGGTTTAACGTTTGGTGCGGAATAGTAGGTTCAAAAATTCTTGGACCATTTACTTTTCAATGCACCTTAAATGGTGGTCGGTATCTTCAATTCCTTCGGAATAACCTGGATTCTATGTTGGACGACCTAGATTTGAAAACATGGCGTAATGTGCAGTGGTTTCAGCATGATGGCGCTCCTCCGCATAATTTTTTCCAAGGGCGGAATCACCTAGACGTAACATTTCCTGGGGGTTGGATTGGTCGAAACGGTCTTATTTTATGGCTACCTCGATTACCGGATCTTCCATCTTTGGATTTTTTTTTAGGGGAGCCGTATCAAACACAGTTTACAAAAACAAATGTTCCAATTCAAATTAACTCAAAGAATCTGTTGTGAGAGCATTTGAAAATATTGATGGTCGGTCCGTAAGAAAAGCAAATTATTCAGTTTTAAAGCGTTGCAATGTTTTCCTTGATAATAATGGTGGACTTTTTGAAAATGTTTTACAATGA